CGGGTACTTACATGTATGGTATTCAGCTTTGTTCGGGTATTTTCCCACGTCATTGTAGTTGTGCTTTTAAAGTTGTAGCAACGTTTCGGCAGAATCTCATCTGCCATCATCAGGCTTCTGTATTACATACATACATACATACATACATACATACATACATACATACATACAGTATATATATCGGGAGTCCTTCTGTGTATATTTTGATAAAACTGTGATTGATTACTCTCAGCCCTCGCCCTGGGATATTTGGAATACTTTATTGGCCAAGTGTGATTGGACATACAAGGAATCTGTCTTGGTGCAAATGCTCTCAGTGTACATAAAAGAAAAGATACATTCGTCAAGAGTCAAGAATCATAAGGTCCAACACTTAATGATAGTCATAGGGTACAATAAGCAATCAAATCATTCTAGGAAACAGTGAATATAAATCGTAAGGATACAAGCAACAAAGTTACAGTCCTACAATCACAAGTGGAAGGGGATGGGTGATAAGGAGTGATGAGAAGATTAACAGTAATAGTAGTGTACACTTTGTAAATAGTTGGACAGTGTTGAGGGAATTATTTGTTTAGCAGAGTAATGGCATTCGGGGAAAAACTCTCCTTGTGTCTAGTTGTTCCGGTGTGCAGTGCTCTATAGCGTCGTTTTGAGGGAAGGAGTTGAAACAATTTATGCCCAGGATGTGCGGGGGTCTGTAAATATTTTCACAGCCCTCTTTTTGACTCCTGCAGTATACAGTTATAGAGGTGCAGATGATAGACTCAATAATTCCTCTGTAGAACTGGATCAGCAGCTCCTTGGGCAGTTTGAGCTTTCTGAGTTGGCGCAGAAAGAACCTTCTTTGTTGTGTTTTTTTGATGACGTTTTTGATGTTAAGTGTCCATTTTAGGTCATGTGATATAGTAGAACCTAGAAATTTGAAGGTCTCTACTGTTGATATTGTGTTGTCTAGTATTGTAAGAGGTGGTAGTATGGGAGGGTTTCTTCTAAAGTCTACCACCATTTCTACGGTTTTGAGTGTGTTCCATTCCAGATTGTTCTGGTTACACCACGAGGCAAGTTGTATAACCTCCTGTCTGTATGCAGATTCATCGTTGTCTCGAATGAGACCAATCACTGTTGTGTCACCAGCAAACTTCAGTATTTTAACAGATGGATCGTTTGAGATGCAGTCATTGGTATATAGGGAGAAGAGAAGTGGAGATAGCACACAGCCTTGGGGGGGCCCTGTGCTGATTGTACAGGTATCGGAGGTGATTCCGCCTAGTTTCACCTGCTGCTTCCTGTCTGTTAGGAAGCTTATGATCCACTTACAAGTGTGTTCAGGTACTGCTAGTTGGTTTAATTTACTTAGAAGAGTGTCAGGAATGATGGTATTGAATGCTGAACTGGTCTACAAAGAGGACCCTTGCATAGGTATTTGGAGATTCAAGGTGTTGTAGGATGTAATGCAGAGCTATGTTAACAGCATCGTCTGTCTATCTATTTGCTCGGTATGCAAACTGCATGGGATCTAACAGCGGATCCGTGATGGTTTTCAGGTGGGACAGCACAAGCCTTTCAAAGATTTTCATAACTACCGATGTTAGAGCAACTGGTCTGTAGTCATTCAGTTCCTTGATGGAGGGCTTCTTTGGCACTGGGATGATGGTAGAACGTTTGAAGCAGGAAGGAACATAGCACGTCTCTAGTGATCTGACTTTTAAGCAAGAAGGGGTTATCTTGTCTGGCCCTGGTGCTTTTCCTGGCTTCTGTCTGTGTAATAGATCTTGCACTTCTTTTTCTGGGATCACCAGAGGTTGTGAGCCCAATGGATTGGGGCCAGTTGTAGGAGGATTGGCTGTTGTTGGTGTGTTTGAGATGGGGGTTGTGGAGATAGGTGGCTGTAGTTTCTTTTCAAACCTGCAGTAAAACACATTCAGGTCATCTGCTAGTTGTTGATTTCCTTCTGCCTGGGAAGGAGGTTTGCTGAAGCCGGTGATGTTTTTAAGAGTTTTCCACATGTTTGCTGGTTTATTTGTTGAGAATGGATTCTTTCACTTTTCAGAGTAGCTTCTTTTTGCTGCTCTGATCTCTTTTGTTAATATGTTTCTGGCCTGGTTGTATAGCATTCTGTCACCTTTTCTGTAGGCTTCCTCTTTAGAACAACGTAGCTGCTTAAGTTTAGCTGTGAACCAAGGTTTACTGTTACTATATATTTGCAGGTTCCTTGCTGGTACACATAAGTCTTAGCAGATGCTAACATATGATGTTATAGTAGCTGTGAGCTCATCTAGGTCTGCAGAGGCATCTTCAAAAACATTCCAATCAGTGCAATCAAGGCAGGCCTGGAGTTTCAGCTTTGCCTCATCCGACCAAGTGCTCAATGATTTAATTGTTGGATTAATGGTTTTAGGTCTTTGTCTGTAGGCCGGTACAAGGTGAATCATGCAGTGGTCAGAGTGTCCCACAGCTGGTCGTGGTAAAGACCTATAAGCATCTTTTACTGTTGTGTAGCAGTGCTCTAAAGTATTTTTGCCTCTGGTGGGACAATTTACACGCTGGAAATATTTTGGGAGCTCTTTCCTTAAATTTGCTTGATTGAAATCTCCTAAAATGATGGGAAGGGAACCTGGGTGTTTGGTTTCAGCCTCCATAGTTTGATCAGCAAGAGTTTGTAATGCCTTGTTCACACAGGCTTGTGGAGGAACATACACAGCTATTAGGGGAAATGAGGAGAACTTACGTGGAGAGTAAAATGGCTTGCAGTTGATGTGTAAAGACTCTTAAGATTTCATCACAAAACTTATATATTATAATTATATCCTGAGACCGGCTGTTGTTGATATATACACACAATCCTCCACCCTTTGTTTTACCTGATGTCTCTTCAATTCTGTCTGATCTAAATGTCTGAAATCCTGGGATGTATATGGTGTTGTCCTCATGAATTTGTGGATTAAGCAAAGAGGCATTTCCCCCCGCTTCATGATCAGCTACATAGATAGTCTTCAACTTACGACCACAATGGAGCCTAACGTTTCTGTTGCTAAGTCAGAGACATCCGTTAAGTGGAGTTTCGCCCTGTTTTACAAACTTTCTTGCCCCATTAGGATTTTGCTTGTCAGAAGGTTCACAAAAGGGGATCACGTGATCCCCCCGGGACACTGCGACTGTCATAAATACGAGGAAGGGCCAAAATTAATAACAGAGAATAACGGAGTTGGAAGGGGCCTTGGAGGTCCTCTAGTCCACCCCCACCCCCCACCCCACCCCCGCTCAAGCAGGAGACGCTCTACCATTTCAGACAAGTGCTTGTCCAGTTTCTTCTTAAAACCTTCATTCTCCGCCTCGAGTAGGAGGCTGTTGAGTAGCTGGTGGGGTCTGCAGGGATGCTGTGGGTGGTATAATTGTGATTGTGGTTGCTAAGTTACTCAACACTTTGTCTGTCTGGCAGGGAGGCCTGGTGTGAAACCTTTCCTCCAAGGGAATTGGAAAGAGCAGTCTAGCATTTCTGCAGGGAAGTCTGTGGCTGGCACCGAAGCAGTGAAAACAGCAGATTACAATGCCCTGCGAATTTCTTCGTCGTTTTCTTTCTCTCTCTTTTTCTTTCCCCTTCCTTTCTTCCTTCATTCTCTTTCCTTTTTCCTTCTTTCTTCCTTCTTCCCTCCCTTTCTTTCTTTTCTAATTCAATTTCTATTTATTTCTCTCTGCTTTCTTCTTATTTCCTTTTCTTTTTTCTCCCTCCCTCCCTTCTTTCCTCCTTTTCTTTCTCTCCTTCCTTTTCTATTTCTATTATTTCTATTGCTATTTCTTCTCATTTCCTTTTTTTGTTTCTTTCTTTCCTTCCCCCTCCTTCCTTTTTTCCTCCCTCTCCTCTTTCTCCCTCCTTTCTTTATTTTCTATTTCAATTTAATGTTTCCTATTGTTATTTTTCTCTCCCTCTCCTTGCCCCTCCCTCTTTCTTTCTCTTTCTCTCTTTCCTTTTCTCTCTTCTCTCTTTTCTCTTTCTCTTTCTCTTTCCTTTTCATTTCTTTTCTTCCTGTAGAATTCCTCATGAAAAGACACCCCCACCGGCTCCAAATTTCAGTGAAATTTCATTCTTTCTCCACTTCCCACCAAAAATGTTGGTTGCGTGGGGCTTCAAATCCTCTCCAAATC